TTGTAAAGAGATGGATCTGTTGCAATGATTTGGAAGAAAATATACAGCTGCCTCCAAGGTCCTATCTGGGATATTACCCAACTTTTCCATAATCTTCTATGCACTAAACAATGTATTGGACTACATTAGCCTTTTCCCAACCCAATGCCCTCCTGGTGTGTTGACTTTTAACTCCCAGAATCCCTAGCCAGCATAGTTAATTCATTTTGGGAGATGATATCCAATATATTAGCAGGCTAGGCTGGAGTATACGTTGAATTCACACTGTCTGCTTTGCTGGTGATCTTGCAATAATAATAAGGGGAACCTCGGAAGTTTAGGGAAGTTTACCAGGAGCTTTTCATGACAAAGATCCAAAAAATGTGAAAGGCACATTTTTCCTGACACAAAGCTATACTGAAGGATTACCTTGGTTTAATTCTGAAAGCTCTCCACAAGCAAGCAGTTCAGGGAGCTTCTGATGGGGATTATGGCAGACTGATGTCTCCGAAGGAGCGGGGATGACTTTGCAGCCGAGAACACTGGCTGGAGGGTGGATGCTGGTCAGCCAAATCTCTCCAGATCAAGGAGAGATTGTGAGATAGCCCATCTGTACTCCAGACAGCTGTTCCTCATGAGTAAACTTCAGGAACAGAAGTTTTTGCAGTTGGCAAAAATATTTTGGAAGAAATAAAAAGGAAAGAAGAAGAGTTAAAGAAATTCCCAGGGAAGATCAGCATCTCCCAGCAAATTAAGCTCTTACAGCAACAGTCATCTACGTTAACAATAAGAGAAATGGAAATAAAAATGGATTTGGTAAAGGAAAAAAAAATTGAATTTACGAATAAACCAGGGAAATGGTTGGCATATAAATTGCAAAAAGAAAGAGAAAAGAAACTGATATTGAAACTTCAAGAGGGAGATATTGCATTAACAGGTAATGTGGCTATGCAAAAAGCGTTTCATCAGTATTATTCCAGTTTGTATAAAGGACAGGACATTTCTTTGGAGAAAATAAATGAATATCTTAAAAAACAACATTTACCGAGGATTACAGAGGAACAAAGACAAATTATGAATGGACCTATAGCAATAAGGGAAGTTTCAGAAGCTATTAAAAAAAAAACAACAGGAAAGATATCTGAACCAGATGGATTGTCGGGTTTGTACTATAAAAGTTTTGAAGGTGAACTTTGAAACCCCTACAAAATACGATGAACTTTATCTTACAGGGAGGTAAGATGCCAGAGACTTGGAAAGAGGCATTAATAGCATTAATACCTAAAGAGGGACAAGACTTGACTTAACAAGAAATTATAGACCAATATCATTATTGAATAATGATTATAACTTGTTCACAATGAGTCTAGCGGAAAGATTGAAAATAATTTTGCAAGAATTTACTCATAAGGATCAATGTAGGTTTTTATTTAAAAGACAGCTAAAGGACAATATCAGAACTGTACTGGACATATAAGAATATTTGGAACAACATAATGAAAAACAATCTGCATTGATCTTTTTGGATGCAGAAATTGTCAAATTTTGACCATTTAAGCTGGACTTTCCTGTTTAAAGTTTTGGAAGGTATGAATTTTGGAGAGAATTTTATAAAATGGGTAAAATCAATTTATACTACACAGAAAGCACATATAATTGTTCATGGAGATTTAACAAAACCATGTGAAATACGAAAAGGAACAAGACAAGGCTGCCCATTATCCCCTCTCCTGTTTATGTTGGTTCTTGAACTACTGAATAGAGACATAAGACAAGACGAGAGGATTGTGGGAGTAAAGATCTAAAAAGAGACTTATAAGTTAAGAGCTTTTGCAGATGACTTGGTGTTGGTTCTGAAAGATCCTTTAAAGGGTTAAATTTAAAACATTAATGGGTAAATTAAGAGAATTTGATGCGCTAGCAGGTTTTAAGATTAATAAACAGAAGATGAAGATGTTAACAAAAAATATGAAAATACAAGATCAAACAGAATTGATGAATAGATATAATGGATGGCATGAGTGGGGAAGATTCTGGAATGGAAGTTCAAGGTTGCCAGGAGGGGGAGAGACATTCCAGAGCAAGCGCCTCCTCAGCCCGCAACAAGAGTGTGGGGAGAAGAAGAGGATGAGGCTGGCCCCTCCCTAGAGTCTCACGGGGTATATTCACTAGTATGGGGTTAGTCTGGCGAGATTCTGTCTATTAGGTGCGAGCTAATACAGGAACTGAACTGTACTGGATTGCCTCATTGTTGTTCTTGGGCTGAACCTGACAATAAAACAGGTATTAAAATTGAGAAGAAAGTAAATATTTGAGTATCACTTTGACAAAGATATTTGTGGTATGATAAAGCTAAGGTTATGTAGACTTTAAAAATAATTATGTTAAACATACCATATTAAGAATATGGAACAGATACAAATCCAGGTTGTGCTCAAAAGTGCCTTTGTGGCTCTCAGCACAAGAAGCATTTTATAGACAAGAAACGGTAAGGAAACAAATGGTTAACTTACTGTGAGATATTAGAATTTTATCAAGGCGAATGTAAAATAAAATCAAGAGAAAAACTGGTGGCAGAAGGATGTACTTGTCAATGGTTTTCTTATATACAATCGTTAGAAATGTTTGAAGTAGACAAAAGAATTTATGGTTTTGAACACTGAAAGACTGAATTTGAAACAGAATTGTGTACAAATGTTGAACATGTAATTGCTAAAATGTATCAACTTTTATTGAAATACAAAACAGAAGTGAAAGAATCTATGATAAAATGGGCTAAAATGTTGGTTACAGAATACGAATGGAGCAATGGGAAAATATGTGGTTGGAAGGACTGAAATTTACATTATGTTATAACCTGAAAGAGAACTTCTATAAAATGATGTATTGTTGGTAAATGTCACCAGAGAAACTGTCTAGAATGTATAAAGGTACCTCAAATTTATGTTGGAAATGTGAACAACCTGAAAGGACATTTTATCATCTTTGGTGGACGTATGAAAAAGCCAGAAAACTTTGGTTACAAATACATACACTAATGCAGAGGATCTTAAAGATTAATGTGCAATTGAAACTGGAGGCTTTTCTTTTGGGATTGATGGACAAACAGCTGGGAAAAAGTCATGGAACTTTGTTTTTATATATGATGACTGCAGCAAGATTATTACAGACAGTCCCCTACTTACAAACAGGTTACATTCCAAAAGGCTGTTCGTAAGTCGAATCAGGTAAAAAGTAAACAGTAAAAAAAACAAAGAGGAGGAGACAGGAGGCAGGACAGCGGTGTGGGCAGAGGAGCCCTATCTTCTGCTGCCAATGCGTCACCAGGTGAGGCCGGAAAGGGGATGTAGCAGAGGAGAGGGGAGCGAAGGACGAGCTGGTGGGGCATGGCATGCTCCGTTGCCCGGTGAGGCAGGAGAGGTGGCAGTGGCTCCTTGGGCGAAGGGTGAGCCAGTGGGCGTGATGTGCTCTGTGGCAAGGCAAGGCAGGAGATCTCACCTCCTCTCCCCTGCCACCACCCCCTCTCCTGCTTCACCCAGCAATGGAGCACCCCACGTAAACTAACCCTTTCTGGGAACTCCAACTCTACTGCAAACCTCAAATGCCAACGGAATGTGGGGGACTTCCAGCCCGACTTCTGGTTCCGACTTCTGGCCTGACTTTTGGTTCTGATTTTCAGGTCCATCCTATTAATATTGGTGAAAGTTCGCAATGTGAAAGTTTGCAAGTAGGGGACTGCCTGTATATGCACAAAAGTAGAAAGGTTCGGCATTGCCCACAATGGAGGAATGGTTGGTGAAGATGATGGAATTTGCAGAGATGGCTAAATTGACTTCCTTGATCAGAGAAAAGACAGTATCTATGTTTATTGCTGACTGGAAGCCTTTGTGGACTTTCTGCATGAAAAAAACCTTACTTATGACTTACAGTTTTGATGATTAGAAAAAAAAAAGATAATAGAAAAAAGAGAGTTGTTTTTGTAACCATAGAGTAAGAGTAATTATTTGTACTTATAATTGCTGTAAAGAAAATTGGAAGCTACTGCTTTCTATTTCTTTCTATTTTTTTCTTTCTGTACTTTTGGCTTTTTCTTTGTTCTTTTTCTCTTTTCTTTTTACTTTACAGTAGTTCTTGTTAGTTTTTCTCTTCTGTTTAAAATCTTTAATAAAACACAAGCAAGCAATTCAGATCATGGGTAAGCTTGATACAATCCTTCCCCAGTGCCATCGTAGAAGAGTGAGACACAAGAAGAGGTTAAAGGCATTAGAGATCATGACATGTTTGGATCTGACCCCATCCACAACACCATGCTGCCTTCAGCAGATTACCTCAGAAGGAGTGCAGTCCTTACAGGACTGTCCACACCACCACCACCATATAAACAAATGTAAACATTATTCTCTCAAAGGAGACATCATTGTACCAGAAGAATACACTTCATGACCCCATCCCTTAAGTGGAAATAATGTTCATATGATCTATAGGCTAGTTTATGCTGGATTCAAATTTGGAAAGAAAGTACAAATCCAGAAAACCTGTTTTCCTACCTTTTTTTAGCAACAAAATGTGCATATTCACAAAATTAACAAACACACCGGCCGTCAGCAAAATCATACCCTCCAGCACGGTTGCTTGTGATAATCCTGTTTGCCTCAATGTTTCTTTTTCTCCTTTTTATTTCTCTACGGAGCTAATTTATTTCAGTTGCTTCTTTCAAGAAGGTCAGGACAGAAGGTCAGGCTTTTTCCTAATTGTCATAGGACTGTGATTGTGTAGCTAGCCTGCCAGATTAACAGCTCTTTGCTCTGGTAAATAAAGGACTAGTCTGAAATGCCATAGCCCCACAGAGAAATATTATACTAAGTTGCTCTTGCATAATAAAAAATGGCAGTTCTCCTCAGCTGTATTTCCTGCATTTCTTTAGAACTGCATCCCAAGTCACAACAATTCATGGGTTCCTCTTTTAAGTGCCAATCATTCCACCATTTATATGCTACCTATCTTTCGGCTTTCCCTCTTACCTTCAAAGAACAAATTGTTCTCCCTGTGTTGTGTATCTGCTGACTGATGTTGAGCACTCAATTTGGAATGAAATGTACTGCTGCCACTTGGCATGATTACTTCAGAGCCCTGATTCCTGAAATAGAACAATGCAGGGACCCTGTTTGAGACTTCAGTGGCGTAAATGTTCATGGAGAAATGCCATTGGGAGTATGGGAGGCGGGACGCCGGTGTTCCTGGATCTGTACTAGGACCATTTAGGTGATTTCTACAAGGATCATTGGGGAGGCAGAAAGTCAAAGCCCTCCCCTCCATCCTAGTGATTCTGGCCCAAATATTTGATTCTCTGTGGTTCTTGCAGCATTTCCTACTGCCTGGCTGCGATTTAACTAGAGATGTGAGGGGAGGAGGGGAGGCCAAGTTATATGCAAGCCATCTGTGTTCCCACTGAGATGGGTTCTCTCCCCTAGCTCAAGGGCCATCCATTCTCACATAACTTTTTTTTTTTCTGCTAACAAACTATCTTATTTATTTTATTCAGTCTGGATGCTACCTGGCTCCAACTGACTCAGCACAGGTTATCTTGTGAACACAATAAAAAAATCTTCTCATCAATTCTTTTAGGTAGCTAAAATCATAGGTTCTGGGCTATAGTTCAGTTTTGTATTCTTTTTCACCCACTCCTAACTCTTACAATGCCTTTCATTAGTAACACTATGCAAAGTTTTGATGTATTTACCAAATTGAGTCAACTTTCTAAATCAACCAGGCTCATGACAATCAAGAGTATCCATGGTGTGTCCATGTGGGAGAGTGTATGTGTGTAAAAAGTAAAAATGGTGGTCATGCCCAAAATGGTGGTAATTGAAGCCTCACTCCTTTTTTGATTGATTGGCTGATTGATTGATTATGTGCCATCATATAATACAGGTAAAAAAAAAAAAATAGACATGGCTCCTATTGCACAGCCACAGCCACCATCTTTACTTTTTTTAACATCTCCTGTGGATGCCTCTGATAACAATTTTTGAGGTGCATCAATTTGTGTTTCATCTGAGATTCAATCTTTTCCCTTACATCCTAGCCAGCCCCAATGTTCTCAAAGTTAAGCATTTTATTTAAATATTCTTTTCATAAAAACAAAACAAGGAAACAGAAAAATGCCCTGCTGGAAAAGAAAGATGCAAGAGCCCACATCATCTTTGCTTTCAGGAATAACTTTAGGTTCCACAGCAGCTCCAGAGACATTCTTAGAAAGCAAAACGTGGGTGATTGCAACCAAGCTCATTGTCTGGAAATGTGCCCCCCTGCTCAGAAAAGACAAAAGATGGAGAGAGCAGAAGTGAGAAAGGCAGCTTAGGTTTTCCTAATATCTCAGTTTTGTCAAGACAATCTCAGTTTGGGGAGAGGCATCCTAGATGCCAGAACACTCCAAAATAGATGTCCATGTTCACCTTCATTGAACCTGTGCAAGTATTTGAATTGGGTGACCATATCTGAGCAGTAAGTATACGAAAATTCTAAGTCAATGCTGCACCTAGCAGTCATCTGGATTTTTGCAGCCCAAATATAGTAGTCCTAACTTGAGTAGTTATGGGAAACTTTGTGCATAGTCATTCATGCTGGACTACTGTAGTTGCCTCCATATGGGGCTGTTCTTACAGAACATTCAGAATTATCAGCTGGTACAGCATTCAACCACCTGTATAGTTATGGGAACATCAAAATTTGCTCATGGGTCTGGATACTATAATGAATCTATATATGAATCTATATTCATGGATACTATAATGAATCTATATATCAAATGAGATCAGGAAGACAAGGCTTGCCGAGATCTTTCCTCTTTGAGAATAGCCATATACAAGGAAGTTTGGAGGTGAGCCTTCTCAGTGATGGTCCCTCATCTGTGAAACAGCCTATCTCAGATATTTAGGCCTCCACCACCACATTGGGCTTTAGCTTCAAAGGGGTTGTAAAGACTTAGCTCTTTAGGAACATATTTAAGGAATGGGAGGTAGATAAAACCTCCCACTCCTCAAATATGTTCCTAAAGAGCTACGTCTATGAGTGACACTGTCATGCTTAGTTGGTATTCTGTATGTCAGATGTTATTAACTCAATGTTTTGGTGTTCTTTATGCTGTTTAGAGACTTTGGGACTGTAGCAGCATAGGATCCATAGTAACAAATAAATAAAAATAAATACTTGGCCCTGCTAAGTTTCCCTACAGCAGAAGACCTGGGAAGCTTTCAAGTGACTCCAGAAGGAAGTCTACCTTCGGAACAGGCAGGAGCAGCTTAACTTACTTTGAAACCAATTTGGTGCAAGCCCCAGGGCTTGGCCAAATCTGGCTATGGTTTGTGTTGTCCTGCAGCTTTGAAACCCAATAGTTCTAACAGAAAAATGGAGAAGCCTGGCTGGCACTGTTTTCTTGCATTATTTCACATACTGATTTCAATTTCCAGCCTACTGTTTTGCATGGTACAGCAGCCCACCACTCCCTATAATCAGAATGTGTTCACATTGCCCCTGTCTGCATAATAATATACTGCATAATTCAGCCCTTTGTTAAAGTTGGAAAAAGGATCATGTAGGAGTCAATTAATAGATGTAGCACAAACCCCCAGTCCCAACCAAGCCACTGAATAGCTCCAGCATTAGTTAAGTTATTATTTGTGCCCTTCAAGCCCCAGCCGACAGCTATGACTGAAATTTATTACAGTTCATTTACTCTGATTTCAATGAAAAGTTACTTCTGTACATACAGAGTTGGCTCCACAGTCATATATTAACTAACTGGAAGACATCTTTGATGATAGTGCAATCTATTAGCTATTATAATAGCTAACCTCCTTGGCTCAATTTCTTAGAGCACATTTGACAAATGCAAAGAAACTTTATCCTTTTAAATAAGTGTTATGCTGTTAAATACCAGCGCAATTGCAGGCCATTGTAGAAAGATTTAACATGGATTGACTTTATTCTATAAAATCAATATATTATCCATTGGGAAGTCAGAGGAAAATGTAGCTCAGACATAAAGATGATCCCAGATCCAGTTCCTGGCATTTTAAGCTAGGATTGGGAAAGATCCTATTGGAAACTCAGAAACCATGTACTCTTCAACATAGATGGTCTGAGCAAATTAGAGCAATGGTCAAACTCAACATAATGCAGGTAAGTACTGGCAAATAAATATTTCTGTCAATCCCTACCTCAAAGGAGAGAAAAGCTTTCAAGAATCTTATCTCTTCTCTGGCTGAAATGAGAGCCAAAGAAGATTCCACTTCCATCCCCAACCTGGTTCTTCAGGTCTTCCAATGGTGCACCCATTGCCACTGCAATTGAGTCCATCCACCTTGCTGTTGGTTGTCCTCTTCTTTTTCCTTCCACCTTTCTCAGCATGACAGAATTTTCCAGAGAAACAGGCATTCTCATAATGTGACCAAAGTCAAGAAAGCTAGATTCTGGCAAAGTTTTATTAGACAAATTTATTGGTAAAACAAAGGGATTAGATAACAGAATCTTGAAAACTGGATATGTGTGTATCATAGCATGCCTTTTATCAGCACATCTTTTAAGACAAGTTCTCCTTCATTGCTTTGGTCCTCTAACACTCTCTTGATTTAAGGAGGAGCTGGCTACTTTATGAGATGCTAATGAACCATGCATCTATTCTTGTTCTACAAGATTCTGCAAGCATCCAGTCTTATTCCCAGGTTCAGCTAATTCCATTGCAGAGCAAGTGAAGGAGGAACTGCTGCTGCTGCTGCTGCTGCTGCTGCTGCTGCTGCTGCTGCTGCTGCTGCTGCTGCTG